TCAGTTTTGGGAAAACTTCACCGAGGTGGAGAATTATTGGATAGCATGTTCCTAATATGTTTCCTAATTTGTTTTGGTAACGGGTTATAGGGATTCCTAATCTATTTTGGTAACATGATTCCAAATCTGTTTTGGTAACAGGTTATTAGGATTCCTAATCTGTTTTTTTTTTAGAATTCCTAGTATGTTTATGATTTTATGGAACAATTAAAAGAGAGAATTGAGCAGAAAATTGGGGGTATTTGGAGAACAGAAAAGATGTATTTTTTGAGCTATTAGTTAGGGTTTTGTTTGGAGAGAATTAGAGATTTGTTGGTGAGGCTAATTGGTGAGTTTGAGTGATTTGTAATCTCAGTTTGTACTCTTCTTCTCTATTAGTGAAAAACTCTATCCCCTTCTTGCCCCGTAGACGTAGGCAACTTGCTGAACCACGTTAAAACTGATTGTTTGTGTTTGTGGCATTGATTTGGTTCGTTTGGCCTTCTCTTGACGTTCGTTTGATTTGATTTCTCGTAGCACGTTGGTTTGGTTGTTTGGCTTCCGCAGCGCTCAACAAGTGGTATCAGAGCACAACAAGTGGTATTAGAGCACAACAAGTGGTATCAGAGTTCGGGCTATGCTTGGGCTATTTGGAGGAGTAGGTCGTTTTGGAGGCTCGCCTAGGGCTTCTTTTGGTGATAAAGATTAGATCTTTTTGGTAAAGACTCTATCTTTTTGGCACGAGAACAAAATGACTCAAAACTAATAGGGGCTGGAGCTAGGCCTACATTCTGGTCTGCATCGATCTTAGGCTTATTGTAACCTCCTAACACCTGAGACGCGCAGGTTTCCTCTATGTTCAGTTGTTTCAGGTTGAAGACTTGGTGCGTATGTGTTTTTCTTCCCCCTCTCCCCTTTTGTTAATTGCAATGTGCGTGCGCTATGATTAGTAGCGGAAAGGCTTTTGCGATCTCCACATATTCAATATCTTGAAATGTTACTGACAATATATCTATACATTCTAAACAATGCAAGAGATATCGATATCCAATTGTGATGTCTGCGAATTGATTAGAACCCAGTTGTCTTGGTAATTGCATTTACATCGTAAAGTTATAAGCAAGAATCATTTAGCTTTGAAGGTTTCCAACTAAACTCAAGAGCATGAATTCCAAAAGCACGCTGAAAAATGAACCTTCAACGTCACGCAAGCAAACGTCTTTACGGACCCAGATTGGAAATCCATCAAACTCAAGCTCAAAACCTCTGAACGTAACCAGCAGCCTGCTGCGAGTGAACAATGCCAGCTTGCCCCTGCATCCCATCCTTGGCATACTGCCAACTAAACTCAAGAGCATGAATTCCAAAAGCACGCTGAAAAATGAACCTTCAACGTCACGCAAGCAAACGTCTTTACGGACCCAGATTGGAAATCCATCAAACTCAAGCTCAAAACCTCTGAACGTAACCAGCAGCCTGCTGCGAGTGAACAATGCCAGCTTGCCCCTGCATCCCATCCTTGGCATACTGC